CATATTAGACGCTATCCTGATTCTGTTGTCTGATTTTGGTTCATTGATCGCCAGCTGACAGATGTCACAGCCTGATCGATCTGGACGCGAAAGTGAATCTTCTCACCCAAAGCACTTCAAGATCGATTCCTTCGATGTTTCCCCACCCGGAGAATCCGTATCAGTTCTCGAGATCAACCATGTCTGCAAAAATTAAACATTCTCCTCCGTCGGCGTTCCTTCAACTCCTTTACCCAGAACATCGCCGACTGGCCATCTTGGTGAAGCAAAAGCTCTCCGATGCGAAGTGCAACTTTTTTTTATCGGACCAAGATCCGCATACTTCGGACGTCGGACCCAAAGAAGTGGCACAACAGAATTAAGCCCATTTGCGGAATGGCCAGGACCTTCTTCCACATCAGTGAAATTGCTGGATAATTGCTGGCGAAGGATGCTGCGAAACCAATAAATTTCTTATTTGTAGGCTTCCCTAAACGCATCTCGTCTCCTTCTGAGATATCCCGAGACTACTAATGAGGCTGTGCAGTTGTTTTTGCGTTACTTTCTGGACGAAGGAGGAAACGATGCTCGGTGGGGGGGAAGAACTAAGGTGAAATGGTTTCGCTCTTAGGTGATCATCTGTGTAGGAACGTAGACGGAATTTCAAATAACTGCAAGTTGCACAACTTGAATGATCAAATGGTCCTTATAATCCGTCTTCGAGAAAATAGGGAATCAACCGACTTTCTTAGTGCCCTAGTTGTTCCAAGCCGGCCTCTACGTCACAATATTGGTCTCTCTATAAAACATTCGCCATCCTCTCTATTTCACTTTGCAATCAATCTCACAAATTTGTGCGCAATTATGTTTTTACATAATTATTTATAGATACTAGAGAATCGGGGGGGAAAAAAATGGAAATGTGTAGCAAGGCGCAACGCTTCGCACTGGCACTTGCAATCGTCGGTGGCTACGGTCGGCTTTTGCAAAGGGAGAAAATCCGGCAGAGCAAAGGAGCATAGGTGCGCTCCTGGACTAGATTCTCTCGTCCCCGCTTATGGATATACCTCCTCACCTCCACGCGTCCTATATGCTCTGCGCACATTGCTCCCGTCCATCATGACTTCCACATTGGAGGCTGTTTTGGCGAAAGAGACCTGCACTCGCCTTTTGGGTGCGTGGATCCGGGACGACCTCCACTGGGACACAAACACCCAGGCGATTTGTAGTCGAGGCATCAACACGATTGTTCATGCTCAAAATCTTACAATTCTTCGAAGCCCCCCGTGAAGATTTACTTGTTATTTAGTCCTCGTATATCGTCCCAGTGCTAGAATACGCCTCCCTTGCCTGGAGCAGCTCACTGACCACCAATTTGGCAAATTCAATTGAGCTAGTCCAAAAGCGCGCTTTTCGGCTCATCCTTGGGAGCGAACTTACGTCATATCATGAGACTTTATCTACTCTTCAACTGCCATCTCCTGCAGACAGACGAAAGAACCTCACATTAAAATATGCCCAAGCCCTTCTAGTCAACTCATCTCGTCGACATGTCCCGCCTCCCCACCGGCAGGTGCCCCTAACGACCATGCGACGTAATATCTCTTACTGGAATTCCAAGTGCAGAATCCAACGCTTCTACAAATGACCCTATTCGACCCGCCTAACCCAACTTCTCCATTTCACTTTACACGTGATGAATTCGTAATTTCACCCTCTATATGACGTTGGATACCAATTTACTTATGCTCTAACGGTCCGGATTTTCAATACGCCAGTATTATTATTCAATATATATTCTAATCTATTCAGAAAGGGTGTGGGAAGATCGGAGAATCTCAAGGCCGGGAATGCATGCCACCCCGTCCTCCTTAGATTCCAATCGACTTTCAGAGGAGCTGCACCGCTGAAGGCTCAATTTGTTCGTTTCTGTTTGTGATACAGCGACGATCGCGAATCTGGTTCGGGGAAATTCTCTGAAAAGAGAACAATCGCGGAATAATTCCACATTTATATTCTCCACGGATGCAAAAATATGCACCGAACGCCAGCTTAGCGACATCTCCGCGAAACGATTCCGTTTTCCCCGGTGACAAACAACCGAACTCGTTCGAGTCATTCCCCGAAGACGGGTCGGAACGAGAAATCGGAGATCTTCCTGACAAGGAACCATAAAAAGGAGGCATGAGCTCCCTCAGAAGGTTCGACTGAAAGCACTGCATTCCCGTCCTTCCGTGTGCACCTCGTCGGCAGTCATGAAGGTGAGTCGTTGAGAGGGGGGAATGGACGTTTTCACTGCGGTGAAACCACACGGAGGGGTTTCCAGGAACTGGGAAAAAGTTTCAAGTTAATGCCTTTTGCAGCCGTGTTTCGAAAATCTCCCTTGAAAATCGAATTATATTTCACAACGAACAGTCCAGCTGGCTAGAGAATTTCCATTCCCGTCTTCCAAGGTCGATCGGTACGGTCACATGGAGCATGCGACTTGAACCCTATGCTACATTTTGTTGTAAGAGAATGATGTAATATTGCATGGAGCAGTGGTTCTTAATAAAATGACTTGGCGACCCAAGGGTTAGGGTTAGGGTCTCCTGTTTAAAAAGACTTTCTCATTTATTCACGTCATCCATATTTATTTTATCATTTATCGCAAGTGAACTGTTTGAGGGCTTGGGTCGCCGAGCAAGCCCCGCGACTGGAATTTGGGTCTCCGCCAAAAAAGGTTAAGAACCACTGTCCTAGAGGGTGGTGCTTGACAAAGATGCAAAGTATTTTCCGTTTGCACGTATTATTCTGTAGTTCCCCCACCTGAGCTTGCAAATATCATCCATACAAATATGCACATACATCTATTCTCCATGGAGTACCAAACTCGAGATTGCTGAAATGCACGCGTGTATCCGTTCCCTTGGAAAGGCCACGTTGCCCACCGGCTGACCCCGTGCCCCTTTCCTTCATTCCAGGTCTTATTGTGGCTGGCAGCGTTGCTCTGGTTGACCCTGGCCCTCCAACAAGCTGCAGCGTTCCCCCTGTACAGAGGCTGGCGTGCCTTCTTCGATCCTCGAATGCAATACAAAGAAGGCTTCGACAACATCATAACCATCCGTGATGATTACCACCTCGCCAACACTTCAGTCTGACACCATCCGTCGATGAGGCGCGAATCAGTTCCTCATGCTTCCCTTGCCACACGACTGTCTCCGCTCGATTATTTATTTCTTTGCATTATTTTTCAACTGGATACTTGAAATACATGGAGTGTTTTCCTCGCATCTCCCGGTCAAATGGATCGTGGCTTCAAATTTAAATTCACTTCCTTGGATGCTGTGATTGATGCCCACATACACTTTTCACATACGTGACACCTTCTGACGATACTTTCAGAGCAACGGCTGCATGAAGAAAGCTAGGTCTCAAGTAATACTCGGTTCTTGCACCTTTCTTCAGAGTGTCTCCATCTTTTGTCGTCACCACATTCGTTTTCTGACGGAAACACAGCAACGGAACCCGGCCCACATCCCATGCCGCGAACTGGTTCTCAAACATTTCGATACTAGGCAACTGTAAAAGAAACAACCTTGTATATTCATGAGGTATCGGCACCAAGTGAACTCGAAAAGTTGGTCTCCATCGAGAAAAGGCGTACGGACGTCTCACCGTGGATGGACGAGCGCTTGAATTTTAAGGAGGGAGCATGAAGTATTAATATTAATTCCATTCTCCTAATGATCTTTTTTTTCATGTACCTTGAAAGGAGGATGTAACATTATTATTAAAAATATTATGAAAATAACTGCGTACCTAAGCACTCTTGTATGCTTTCCGTGTTGACGTCGATGTGGACCCCCCAATCACGATCAAGTAGATTTAATATTGAAGATTCCTGCAGATGATAGCGTCTTGATCGACTAAAGGTCTTTCGGGCTGGCACTTCCTTTCCTTGTTTTGAGTCCGGAAATAGTACTGGTGAGAGACTGAATTTCCGCGAGTTCCCACATCTCCAGTGTTTATGAAGTAATATTTCCCTGCGGAATATGAAGCAATTTGCCCCGCTCGAAGCCGCGATGGGCTGAAACCCCGTTCAAGTCTCTACTCAGGTGTGGGTGATAGACGAATACCTTAACCCTTTTAGGGCCCTTAAGGGCCACGCGGGCGATCTATGGGCTTGGTCGACGATGATTTCAACACCTCAAAAAGGGTGCGTGGGTGGGGCTTTGTCTTATCTCTGTAGAGAAGAGATGAAGGTAATAAAAGAACCTTTTGAAGATTAGATAAGATGAAATGAAGTTACTAATCCAAAAGCGACCCTCATTTGCCTTGGTTGCGTTTCCTCCGAAGGCTAAATTCAAGATGGACACGTTCGAAGCTCAATGAGCCCAGAGGGAAATCGGAGCAAGGGAAAAAAATCTTTTTGGTAATTCATTCTGAATCTTTTGCTTTCCTGAGCGGAGTGGATGCAATGGATTGCAGGTGCATGGCGTTCTTTGGTTCCCAGGACTTTGTCCACAAAAGAACTCGTGTTGGTCTGTGGGCGGATTTCACCGTGGTGTAAATCTGTCAGCGTTGATAAGGTGTCTAGGGTTTCATTCGTTCAAATTTAGATAATATATATCTTGTTGATTTTCTCGAGCTGTGGAATCAAAAAATCCTATCGACGGTTCAGTTGACAAACTGGTAAAAAAAAAAAAATAGTCCAGACGAGAGGCAGAGTTTCATCGGGAAAATTCGACCGGGGCGAAAGGAAATTCGTCGCGGTGACGCGAATTCGACGTTTCGCAACGTGACGCGACGCGATGCAACGCGATGCGACGCTACTTGTCGGCATGCCGCTTCCTACGGACGAGGAGAAATTAATATTTTCCGGAATTACGCAGCGAGGGACGGAAGATAAAAGGCATCCGCCGTCAACAGGGTTTTATTGCACCTGGAAACTTTGCACCAATGTCAATATATACGAGGTTTATTGCTCGAACGAATGTTACATTGTAGATTTTGTGGGAGGAAGTCTGCAGGTCTTTCTGCGCCCCGATAAGTTTCGCGGTGGGATCCGAAGCGGGCCAGTACCTCGTGGAAAAAGCCGGGAGAGGGTCAGGGAATCGAGCGCGAATTATTCTCGATCTCGGTCGAGCGTCAGAGGCAGGCTTACAAAATGAACATCTTCGGAGTGTTTCACGCGTTTCTGACAATTCTGCCGCTCGTCTACGGACGTCAGTGTGAGTGCATATTAAACTTCAGTACCAGAGTGATTGAGTAGCTCTTGGCATTAAAGTCCTTAAGGTGCGCTGGGCAAATTCTCTATCAGAGAATAAGGTCCAGGAAAATTTTGTAAAGACATAGCAAAGCAGAAACGTACAAAGGGAGTTAAAAATGTGGACGTATTTGTGTCCTTCGGGTCCTCATCTGTACCACCGTAGTAGCTTCGTGCGGATGTGGACCAGACGCACACATTAGTACGTTGCAGACGCAGATGTTCGAGTACCTAATACAGTACTTGAAATAGGCATAAGATGGCGTTTATGTTCCCCAGAACGTTCGAACTCGTGTCAGGACGCACCGGACCTTGGAAGAGTTTTGAATCATTTATCCTTTCTGCAATTCAGCGTCTACGAGCAAGGATCATCGACATGTCCCCGGATTGGGCTTTAAAAATTTTCCGCTGATGAAAAAGCCCGTTACCTCTTCCTAGACGGAGAAGGTGCTCGTGCACTTGGGGGCGAATGCCAAGGAGTCGTCTGCACCGACCCAAATTCCCATTGTGTCGCTAACCCGGAGTCACAAGGGAGCGGGATCTGCATGTGCAAACCAGGATACGTGGAAGAGGCTGACATCTGCAGTGAGTTTCGTGGCTTCAAAAACGGCATGCTATATCTCCATGCACTTCCAATTGTCGGAGTCGAAGAGGGCACAGCTATTCCCTTTTTTTTTACCACGGCTGGTAAAGGTTTCGCAACTCAACAATAAGGTTCATAAGGTTCATAGCAGTGAGGAACTCTTAGCATCTCTCCAAGGAATAATAAACAGTATCTTGAAGCATGAGTTTCAATGAATTCATATGGTCAAAAGCCACATCTCCTTGGAAAGTTTTTTTTAATCAGAACCAATATTAATACCGGAACTGAGCAAGTGATTTAATTACGAGAATTCGCAATTACTTATTATTTAGGATTCAGAGTATTGCCGATAGGAATTGGGTAAACATGGGAACGCGTCGTCAGATGAACATCACTGCACTGCAGGAAAAATCTCATGAGAGCCTCTTGAGGTTTTCATCACTTTCTCATGAGAAACTCATGAAGTTATGAGGTCTCACAGGATCCTCATGAGTTTTCAACGAGGTTTTCCCAGCAGAGTGGAGAGAAAATGCACGAAGATTTCTTCGGCGCACTTTGTTAAGGCATTTCCGTAAACCTCTCGCCGCAGTTTTGAATCGGCGCTTTGTTTTCGAAGGCCAAGGTCAAAGGTCGAAGGTCACAGCGCGGTGTTCACTCAGCCATACCGATATCAAATACTTTCTTGTCACTGTTCATCAACTAAGAATAGTGTTAGCCAAGTTCCCGCTGCCAAATTTAATATACGGCTCACAATGGAACACATACGCATCCAAGTTATGCTGAGGCACAGCGTGCTGCATCTGCCGATATGCGGAAATTATAACCAAAATGAGTTCAACATGAGTAAAGAAAAATGGCAGGAACCATGAAATATCAAGAAACGGGACACACGTGAGAACGAAGCAGAAACTCTGCATCATAATGAACAAAAATAGTCCCTACGTACGGATTTGACGAACAGAGAAGTGCTTCTTCAAAGACCATATCGTCGGTAACAGTGCCAGCATCAGTTTTGCCTCGCTTCGGTCCATCGATAACTTGAAACTTCGGGGAATACTCAGAGCAAACTCGCGAGCAGGCAATGTACAAGTGTGATTCATGGTTAGTGGCTCCGTAAATAGTGAAAAAAAAATCCGAGTTGATGAAATGTCTGTCCTCGAGACTTGTCTATGGTCGTACCGTAAAGGTAACCTCGATAGAGAATTAACATAGGCAAAAATGGAACGGTATGCTAACTTAGGTTGACGTGTAGGCATGAAGTGAACGCAGCCACTCGACGCACCCATGATCACCTCGACTATGGGTTTTCAAATGTAATATCAATAGGAACATTTAGTCCCCTACCTTAGGCTGCCCTTCGACTATAAGTAACAGCCATTGCCTCCCCTAGTATTAAGACGTTTGCGCTCGGGTCTCTCACGGTCATGGGCTTGTCGTTGCAAAGGTCGTTCCCAATCGTGAGACTCCGTAGCTCCGATTTTTAGGTCTAGGACGTCGGTAGCTCGAACCATCGTCTGAATATTACGTAACGAGCGACGCGTTTCATGCGTGAGCAGATCCGTTGGCAGGTCGAAGGCCGTGCGACGCCTCATCCCACCAGACAGCAAATTTGCAGAAATACCAGTCGGCATGCAACGCTCAAAACATTGTCCACTTTCATGCAGTATGTGAATTCGTGTAGTGGACAGAAATTGTTTGCCGATGCCACCTGCTTCATCGGTAATGAACAGTGACGCACTTCCGTTCCGAATTTTCATGCGCCGTTGCATTTGAACCACTTCATCCGTATCGTGAACGTAGAGTTGAGCATACGCTAGTTCCTGATTTTCATTTAGCGGAGGAAAGGAATTACGAAACGGATGTAGACGGTCGTGGTGAAATGATAGACTTCGTCAGATGCTTCGACGCTGTAAGGACCGTTATCGGTAATGTCAACAACCGTTGCACCGAGAGGAAGGAGACGCGCTTACGCTGTCGTACTGTCAGTTAAACTCGCGAAAACTCCTCCATCGAGAACGTTTTCGATTCTGGCGGAAACTGCAATGGGTTCGAAGGGAACACGATCGCGACAACGACGCTGCCGGAGTGGAACTCTCTCCGCTTCGAAATGAAAAGCCATGCCGTGCTCGACAGAACCTTTAAAGGCTCGCGATCGTGCGAAACGGCTGGAATGACGTTGGGCGTCATAGCCAACGCAATTCAAGTGTCGTTAAAGGTTCGACGCGTACACGCGCTGCTCTCCGCGCAGCGTTAATAGCCTCATGTTGCTCTTCCATTGACGCAACTCTCTTCTCGGCATTAAGATCTTCAATTCGCTCCTTGATCAGTGCAGATCTAAGCGGGCGCATCGCATATTGTTAACCCTTACGCGACCAAGTTGAGTCAAATTTGACCCAGAGCCTACTTTATAACGCGCAAAAGTTCAAGGCCTTTACATTTCAGGATTAAGCTGTTTAATCCTTCCCATCCAACCTAGGTAATGGAATGGTACAGGCTTGTAGACCAATCAGCTATCACAGGACATATCACAGGCTACCTAGCCTATGTCCTTGAGGGACCAAAGCTTCATAGGCTAGAAGCTACACCAACCATAAAACTCCTTAGCGTATTGTATATAATGTACTGGTAGTATGGATGGATGGACAGACGATCGTGAGTGACTCGTGCTAATTCTGAGGATGTTTTAGAAATGATGAGAGGCTGAAACTCGGAATGAGCTTGAAGGCTTCATGTGTAAATACTCAAGGCACCTGCACGATCCAGTGTTTCAAATTTGTTAACATGCGAGTGTCGTACGATAAAGTATATTTTTTTAATGGGACACGATGGGTCATCCCCTTCATTATGGGTAAAATGAACTTCAGTTGACCCAAAGTCATCACAGAAAGAAGTATTTTCACTACAGGAGGAGATGCTATTGAATGACGATGTACTCCACCAGTCATCTAGAAAAATTAAGAACCTTTTATCGGAAAAATGATTAGATTCATTTCACGTCCAAGAATCTAACATATGCTGGTGCTTAACCCTTCGGAGTCTTCCGCTTCTACTTGCGCTTTGTTAGATCGGAAATCCTGAACTCTATTGGCAACTATAAGAAAACATTAGGCGCACAGAGTTTTGACCCATTGTGCCAAAACAGTGACCCAGCAGAAGCCATTGTAATGAATCAAAACAATATTTCAACCAAAGTAAGTTGAGATTGCAGCTCATACGCGCAGGCATTGAACTACCGATCTCCCGAATCCAATTCCAGTTGGAGTCAAGAACGTTCATCAAATGAAATATTTAGCAAAAATCGAGACGTCACTGCCAACATAAACAAAAAAGGGTATTCTACGGAAAAAGGTCCACACAATTAGCACTTTGAGTGGGGACTACTCTTTTCTCAACTAGACATTCCAGGCGCCTCAGTTGGATGATATATAACATACGAAATTAAGAGAAACGCAGCTGGGAGAGTTATAGGCAGCCTGACCCATGCTGCCCCACGCTCCACTAGGTGCCTTGGGGCCACATATGTTGGGAGGGTGGGATGGCTCATTTTGTAGGCTTACGTCTAATCCGTGGATGGATGCTTAGGCTTACACCTCACTCCCACTTTCTCCATTCCGTGAATCGGGAACACGGACGTCTGCTCAAATGCAGGTTACAGGGAAACTTTAGTGGGGGTACACGCCCTGGGGTACATTTCGAGGGGGACTGATTTCGTATGTGTAGGTTTGACCCACTATCAAACTCTGTCTTTAAGGAAGCGGGACGAGAAACATGTAGGTGCATACTGTTGATGAAGTTGGACTTTGAAGGTACGTGCCCTCAGGGGACTGACTCACCAGGCGTATATACCGGGTGAGACAAAAAAAACGCGCCGCTCTTTTGAAATTCATTGGAGTTCATGAGATAGAAGATAGCACACCAATTTTTTTTCTACTTCTACGTATCCTTAAACCGCCCTGAAATTCTTGTTCGTTTTTCACCGCCCATTTTAGCGCAGGAACAAAAACGCGAAGGTGACTCGAATTGTATTTTTGCGCGAGCGAAATTCATCAGCGGTAGGCGCGGAACGCCCAAATCTTGGACCAGAGCTCCTCCATCTCCCCATGAAAATGCTGCACTTTGCGAAAGGATAGAATGAACAGAATTTTTGCAAGAATTTTAACGTAAAGGTTGAAATAAATGTACAGTAGGCCTGTTGTGTGCCTATCGAGATTGATTCATTGGCTGCAAGGAACTGGTTTATCTGAGAGGAAGCAAAGCGGCTGAAGACTAAAATTAGCCGGAACTGAAGGATATTGCTTTTCATGTAGAAAATGTCATTGTTTCTCAAGATGATGATCCTGGGATGTAAAATTATTATGTTCAAATTACCAAACCTAAGGACGAGTCGAAGATCTGCTTAGCGAGTGATAAAAGTGCAGAGGAAAAAGTCCCGTGAATTAATGTCCTCCCGTCAGCGACCAGGTGCGAGTGCAAAAATAAAATTGCAGTTGCTTTTGTAAAATAACTCCTGCCAAAACGGCTAGATCACAAGCCAGTAATTTTCGGATGCTCAAAGGACGCATAGAGGTGCGTATGAAAGGAAACTCATAGTTCTAGCTGCTGTTTTGAAGGTGCCTCAACATTTCCAAGAGCGGCGCGATTTTTTGACTCACCCGTTATAACCAGCGAACAGGTGCGAGGCTTTTCCGCTTATGCCCCTTCTAGGTCTTTGGCTAAGTGGAAGGACCAAGATTGATGCTTACTGGTACGCTTGCGAATGCAAATGAGTTACCTTAACGGCATTTTCCAGCAGGGAAACGGGTGGGAAGATTTTCCCTCGACATTGCTACTTAGGTTGATAGATACCTAAACCACTTATGCCTGAACCACTCTGGTCTGTGTAATTTCAATGCACACACTTCCTTCGACGAATCGGTGTCGTTAATAGCTATGGGCTGAGATGATGCGTTTTCTCTTGAATAAGTGAAGCATTTGTATGAACAGGGGACTTTGTTAGAGTCCTTGTGCCCGAATGAATATATAATTACAACGAATGAATATATAATATATAATTACAACGATAATTCTCCTCATAGTCTACAAATAATTATTGCGCTAAAACGAGGAAGTAATGAGCTTGGAAGAGGATATGTAGAGCAGAGTTTGACGTCCACATTCGGGAGTAAAATTCGATGTTGAAAACTGTTAATGATGCACTGAATTTTTACCTGGTGATGCTCATGCTGGGAGTCAAATGATATCACTATGAACATTTTCTGAAGGCGCGAGAATTGTCGAGCCCATTAACCAAGGGGTTTGCATCATGAGGGGTGCACTACAAAAACGAATACTTCGTAAATGCACTAAGGTAATTTCCTTTGATCATGACTCTCCGAAGTCGGGTCCAAAGCGAGTTTGTCCGCCCTTCAGGCAAACTCGCTAATAATTGGAGCTCCGATGCGGAACGGAGAATGCACGCGCGATGTCCTTCGATACCTTGCGGTTTGAATCGTGGAAACTCTCGACGTTATACACATGTTTATACCATGGATAACTAGACTGGATTGCATAGGTAGTTACTGGAGGTACTGGAGCGAACCCTAAGGCCCTTCGAAATCATGTTTTTGGGGTGAAAGACGATCCCCATCCATGTGTCCCATACATTTTTCCCACTCACAACCCCGGTATACGTTCACACAGTGTCTTTGAGACGTCATGCATCCGTCCAGAACTTCGGGTCCTCCAAGTTTCCCCCTTTTACGGAGAAGTACTTTCTTGGGTCTGGAAGTACGAGGCCGGGGACCATTCTCTGGCAATATCGAACTTGCAGGCCGAGAGCGAAAACATGACGACCGATTCCGAGGCGCCGCCGGACTCGTTGCGCTGCCAGAGTGCCTCCAGACCCCAGTGGTGGCGGACTGGATGAGTGTCGGGTATCAGGTACTTTAAGACTGAAAAATAGTTTTGGATGTCAAAAACTCCAGACCGAGAGAAAAGCTTACTCAACCGGTTTCTGTTATTGAATTATAACAGTCTCGTCTCACATTTGGAGGTGTTGCTTTTCAGAGGCTGAAGCACTGATGTAGTACCGAAAGTAGCAATAAGGTACTACTATGAGGTACTTTTATGTATAACATACAGGCAAAGAGCAAAAATCATAGGTTAGATTTTAGCAATCATTCTCTGAGTCGAGTGTTCCCAAATCCCCAATTTCGGGGGCAATCACAATCCTCGCCAAATCTGTAAATCAGGCCTCGTCAGGCTACAGTAGCAGGATTTTAGGTCAGAGAGGTCGCCTAGTCATTTGATGCAGATGGGTCAATTTCACTATTTCATGCCTTCGTTCTGGAATTTAATTCCCTTTTCTTTCACGGTAAACAATTTTGCCGTTGCCGATCGGGGAAAGTCGAAAACAACCGTCGGTCTCATCCCGAGTCACGCGCAACCACTTTTCACTAGTGAAAGTTGAGTCGAAATACACGGCGCGCTGATGCGATTCCGTGCCGCGACGCCTCCACCTCCCTTACGCGGGGAGCGGCATTCGACTGGTTGCGACGGTTTTGGTCGTCTCGGTCTCCCTGAGGGAAGTACCTGCTTCCGAATGCTGTAATTGCAGTAAGTCTTTACTTAAGAAGGAAGTCATTTCTGTAAGTAAATACAGTGAGAAAGAAATCGCGGGGAAAAGTAGGACGCCCCTGGTCCTCCACTACTAGTACTGTGTCGCGAATACGTCTGACGAATATTGTCTCTGTCGTTTTCGTTTTCCTTGCAGAGGTTCGAGCTGGAGGGGAATGCAAGGATAGCAAATCGTGCGTGAATAATGCCACGTGCAGAGGAACTGCTGAAAATTTGCAATGCCTGTGCGATGCTAAATTCGTGGAAGAAGCTGGACTCTGCAGTGAGTCACCGTTCCAAAACTGGAATTCTATTCAGGGAAAATTGCAATGATGTGTTTCAACTTTCAAGAGAAACCACCGTGAAATTTTAATTTTATTTGCTGAACGAAATTCTGGCAATTCGGCGCACCCGTCAACGTCCACGCTCTTGTCCCCCGCACAGAGGTTCCAGTCGGAGAGAATTGCCTGCCACCGTCCGCGTGCGTGAGCAACGCCGACTGCGACAGGGAATGCTATTGCAAACCTGGATTCGTGGCAGAAGGGAGTTTCTGCAGTGAGACGTCTTCGAACGCCCCGACCAGACGTCCAACTTACGGCGCCGATTTCATACGATCGACTGTTTTTCGTTTTGCAGAGGTACTGCCTGGAGGTGCGTGCACGGAATCGATAGCGTGCGTGAACAACTCCGTTTGCGAAGGCGCTGCCGAAGATCTACGATGTCGCTGCGTGGACGGATTCGTGGCGGACGCCGGAGGTTGCAGTGAGTGAGCGTGGAGAGAGGCTGGAATCCTCTCGTCTCGCGGCTTCGCTGTCGATGGAGGCCTTTGGGGACTCGCGTCGTGGACGCGGCGAATCGCGTCCGTGTCGATTTCTGCTGTTTTCGTTTCGTGCAGGGGTTCCAGACGGAGGGGAATGCGTGGAAGCGAGCGATTGCGTCGACGATGCCCTCTGCACGGGAACTGATGGGAATGGACGATGTGCTTGCAACGCTTCGTTCGTGGCGGACGCAGGACTCTGCAGTGAGTAATTATTCCGAACCGCCTTCTGAATTTGCACGACGTTATTGCGACTCCAGCGAGACAGCGGTCCGAGTGAATCCCTCGTGGTAATTCTCGCACGACGCGAAAAGAAATTCCCGCAAGTCGATGTGTTTTTAATCGCGAATGCCATCATTTGAGCGGGTCCCCTCGATTTCATCTCCGCAGAAGTACCAGTCGACGGGGAATGCACGGAAACGAGCGATTGCGTCGATAAAGCCACGTGCGAAGGACTCGCTCCGAATCAACGTTGTGTGTGCGGCTCTCCGCTCGTAGTCGAAGCAGGATTCTGCAGTGAGTCATCTCTGATTACTCCACTTCGATGCATTTTATAGAAGATTGCGATGATCTCGCTGACAGGGGCACGCAAAGTTTCACGAGGCAAAAAAAGAAAATACGAAGCGATTGCCCCACCCCCTCCTCCGCTCGATGGCAATGGGAGTCGAGAAATGAGCGGAGTCATGTTTTCTCGGGATCTGTCCAATTTTTCGCTGGGGGAGAATCCAACCTCACGACGATACGTGTTCGCCTGCGCGCGTGCGTGTGCTTGTGCCCACTTTTGAGGCGCCTATGGTCGCTGATAATTTTGCGGGTTTAATCACCATGTGCCCGCTGTCACGCAAAACTACGACTCTCGAATCCTACAATTCCACATTTCACCGCGGAAAGCACTCATCGAGACGATGCCCCCGGCATTTCCTTTCTCGATGCAGAGATACCCAACGGAGGCGATTGCACGCACACGAGCGAGTGCGTGAGCAACTCCAGCTGCACGGGAATTGGAAGCACTCAGCAATGCGAATGCGACTTTGGATTTGTGCCAGAGGGAGGATCCTGCAGTAAGTCGATCCCTTCACTGAAGTGCATATTATTCGATGTTAAGATGATGCGAACCGATCGTGCGATCGATTCCTGCGCCTTCATACTGCAAAAAAAATTACGATAAAGTAATGTGAAAACTATAAATTATATTTTTCAAAGGCTTTCCCTCTCTTCAATCCCCCTCTACCCCCTCATACGCAACATCAGCAAATAAAATCATTGATGCGCGGAGTGAAACTTGTCCGTTTTGTTTTTCCTCTGCGCAGAGGCCACGGTCGGAGTGGAATGCACGGACACGAGCTCGTGCGTCTTAAATGCATCTTGTCTGGTCGTTGGTGGCAATCGACGATGCGCTTGTGACTTGGGATTCGTGGAAGAGGAAGGACTCTGCAGTGAGTCCAAAATCCTTAAGATCCAACCGAAGAAGTATTTCCTGGGAAACGCAGACATTTCGTGAATGCGAAATCCGTATCGTTTGAAGCCCTCGGTGGCTTCAATACTTGGCTTAACAAGAAGACATCAGTTTCGAATCAAGTGATAGCGAAATGAGCCTTTGGGCGCTCAAAAGTTTTGCGGGATCCTCATCATGGGCACGGACATGATGAAAATTCAGTGCAGATAATCTTTTTTTTCGGGATTCCCGATAGAGCGAAGAAATGAAAAGAGTATGGGTGGAAGGAAGTCAGGTGACTATACCCTTGGCTTGCATGGTTATATCTTGAAGAACCGGAGTTGGTTGTGCCGAATGTACGCATGCAGGCTTGGATTGCAGCATACCTATAAGAGAAACCTTCACAGTGAAGCAGTGAACCCCCTTTCCTCGCTCTTTTCTTTCTCAACTTGGTACATTGGTCTTTCGGGCGTGGTTTCCAGTAGAGCTTAATTCTCCTTGGCTGTTGGTGTGCTGCTACTCTCAGCATCCACCTTCACGGCACACGTTGCTCTGTTTGCCTAGCAGCAGCACGAGGGTGAGCTCTCTCCCCCTAATGGAGTTTGCTATTTCGGTGGTTATGGGATGGGCTTGAGCTGTGGGTGCAGTCACCTGAGAGCCTTTCAGCCGTACTCTTTCCACTTCTACAGGGTGGGCCAGAAAATACTGTTTCTGGAGTACCTACCCCAAAAATAAGTAATTAAATTTATGCGCGAATCAGACCAAGTATACGTGCAGGAGATGGTAAATATGAGAACCAAAATATCTCACTTTACTCAACAAGCAATTATTTATTGAAAATTATGCCATGCAGATGGTCCACATTCTGAGCTTTGCATTGCCTTGCTCACATAACTTCTTCATAACTTTGTTAATGGCCTCCTCATGTTATCTTTGAGTTGACCCAGGCTGGGAGGCTTGTTTTGGTATACCGTTCGCTTCAAAGTTCCCGGAAAAAAGTCCTGTGTACGAGGATCCAAAATGAGCTCAGTCAAGGAAACCTTCCAAAAGGTTGATCCCTTTTCCGAGAGAGGTAATGTGAAGCTCGGAATGGAGACCATCTGCATGACATCAGTTTCAATAATTGTTTATTGAGTAAAATGAGATATATATATATATATTTTTTATATAAGATTTTCCACACCTATACTTAAGCATTCTAATGAATGCTGATTGTATACTTGCGCGAAATATTATAAACACACATTATATGTAATTTATATCTCTGGCACCCCCTATAACTCTTCTCCTCTTTACCGGGAACTCCGAAAAATATTAATTTCCACTGAAGGCTGCAGCAAAACTGTGCCCCTGATGAGGATCCTGGCGGAACTTTTCAGCACCCAAAGGCTCATTTTGCTATCACTTGAAAGCCTTGCTTTCATACATTTCCTTCATCGACAATCAGAGGTGTCAATGGTTAATGGCTAGTCAAGTTGAGTACCTTGCGTAGAAATTGTTTTAGAAAGTTGGATCGGTTGATCCTTGTGCCGTCTTTTTTGAACTCACACATATATATACAGTATATTCTTCTCCACTTACAGAGGTACCAGTTGGGGGGGATTGCACGCTGAGAAACGAGTGCGTGGCGAATGCCATCTGTTTGTCTCCTGCCCGCAATCGTAAATGCCATTGCAACCAGGGATTCGTGGTGGAAGCTGGACGCTGCAGTGAGTCAAAATCCCGAACCATTCCGATTAAATGCTTTTCGCTGGAGATTCTAATGATGTGTCGGACTGTCATGGTCCAGAAAGAAATTAAGACGTCAGTATCCTCGCTGACTTGGTTGCTTTCATTTTTAGCGCTCCATGAAACATTTAACGATTTATGCTATTTATTTTTTCAAGTTTCAGGTGGAAAAGTGTCTGCAGGGAAGAAATTATTTTTCTAATAATGCAATTTTGCTCAGCAACAGTGGTTATTGAATCATGGGGACGACATGGTATTTATGACGAAATGACTTCCAAGAAGTCCTTAGCATGTTCCTCGTTATTTCTTCACTTGGAACCTCTTTCTAGCAGTGAATTATATATAGTTGCATTGGGATATACTATACTAAATGAGTGATGAACTGAGCTTGGAGTTCCTCAATTCAAAATTATTATGCACGTTTTTGTGGCCAATGTTCGGAAGAAATGGACATTTTTTTTAGCAATGAGGAAACTGGCATGATGTAGTGAGATATCCACATCCGATTTTGACCCAGTTTTGATTTAACTGTACCGTACCATATTAAATACGTATATTTAAAAGGTTTTTGGGAGTTGAGAAAAATGTCAAAGAGAATGGAGAAACCCGTGAATTGTCAAGTCATGAAAAATTCTGCTAAAAAGGTCCCTGCTTAATATTCTGGAGTTTAGCTGCCAAAGTGCTACCGAATATGGTAACCTGTACAACAGTGTCATGCTTCGTGGCCTAAAACTTGATGAAAGTGAGTAATTAATAGGAAGCTTAATCAAAGTTATACGATTGCAAAAGCTCCATCCTCATCACAGGTGATGTTCATTATGAGATTAGTATTTTAAAGTGAGTAGCATATGCTTTGGAGGTGGGTCCTATCGCGTAAAAATTGACGTGAGCCCGACTCAATTGGTCCATGAGTTATGAGCGTAAAACTGAATAAACGCTCATATGTTCTTTGGCTTTTAGCTATCGATTGACTCATGTCATTCAGAAAATACCCTCTGAATGAAACCGTTTTTGCTTTCCATGAGCAGATAAAGAATCTTTCTGAAAAAGTCCAAGCACTCGAATAATGAATTACTCCAGCTGTAATTTATGCGCTATCTCACATATGTTGTGAGAACTTAGTCCGGTTACCTGCAAGATTACGTGCTTGCTTCATATTCGTTACACATAGTTGGAAATCCGTTTGTGAAAGAAAGACAGAGGAATCTCCTAAACGAATCGGTCCTACAGTGCTACGCTACTGCCTATTTATTAACCAATCTGGTATGCATGAAAATGTGAAAAGGGAAATGCCCCCTATTGATGATTGAGAAATCCGAACAATCATAGGGAATCCTTAGTTCGACATTGTATGTTTAATTGGGCGCATTCAGTTGTGACCCGAGTCATGACTCGAGGGTCTCACTTCAACGCTTGCATTGAGGCTTCCAAATAAATTTTACTCCATAGTGACACCTCTTGTCAATGTCATCAATCCTGGGTATAATAGTTTTTGAAAAGCACCGCACCTGCCGAGAATCATGAACCTCGAGTCTTCTCCCAGGTCACAACTGAATGCACCCAGTATCACAATGACTACCTTCCCAGATGACGTAGGAAACAGTGGCATGGACTGCAAGGACAATGATGCGAACTATGAAGACGTGAATGGGCACATGGAAGCTTTAGACCAGTAGTACCCAAAGTAAATGTTAAGACACTTTGTGTGCTGGATGCGGCCCGCGGGCCGCACCTTGGGTACCCCTGCTTTAGACAATGAGGAAGCCGAAGAAAACAAAGCCTGAAGCCAGCTGCAAATATACGAATCGTTTCCTTCGACAACTTTTTCTTGAACCTGCATCTCCCGCTGGCTTCTAAGGAGAAGACTGCATCAAAGGCTGCCTCCTAGTTCCTGATGAAATCATTCAGTAGGCAGGAATGTATTGCCACCACCGCATCTTTGACGAAACAAGCGAGGACCTTATCACCAAGAAGACACAACAGCAATATATCCCTGGTGGAATCGCACGAACCTTGAACCGATCCACGAGATTGAGAGATGGAGTCGGACAAGAGAAGAGCCGAATTCAACTACCCTGCACACACGTTATCAGCGAATGCAACATTTTCATGCGGGGAGAAGACCATCAGGACAGGTTGCCCTGCAAGTATGACCAGCAGATGCGGTACAAAATGTTGCTTGCCAGAGCATTTTGGATGGCAGTTGTGAATGTGTGGTGCATGCACTGTCGAGTCTACAACAAAGGTCAGGAGGTGTCCTTTCTGAACACATATGACGCAGGCGCTCTCCCATCAGCTGCAACAAACGCGTTGAAGGTGGTTGCGAAAAATGGCTTACAGCCAGTGAGTGTTCCATGCTCTTTACAAACGTGGAGAGAAGTGTATCACAAAATCAGGGAACTATATTTCGAAGGGGAGCATATTGAAACCTAAGTTCTTTTCTTAGGGTGGGTTTTTGTACTTGCTTTTAGCCCTAAAAGACCTTTTAGGTCCATTGCCAGCATAGGGCTAAAAGCCCGCTGGCAGTTAAAAGGGAGTACAGGAACCCACCCCTAGTTTTATGTGCAAAGGCTTGTCCTGGAACTTTCTGATGGATCTTCGTATGCTTTATGCTATGCAAAATGATGCAAGGTCTCTAAAAATCTACCTTATATAACACCATTGTAGTATCTGGACAATTATTACATAGAGGAAAGATAGAGCTTTTCGAACAAGCATCACCAATCCATTGTAGTACAATATTTGTTAAGGTGTATAGACCAATCTGAGTACCAATATAACCCGAAAATGAACCACAATCTTCATGAATCCAGACGTCCTGGTCTTCAATGATGTTCACGAAATGAATGCAAAGCCGTCCGTACCACCAAAAACTACAGCCAGGGTACGGAGCTATTCCGAATCAGGAAAGTTATCTGAAGGATTAAGCGCAAGGAGTAATGCCTTTGCCAAAGTAAATTCCTAGAAAGGCCTTTTATCTTGCACATTGGCCCCATTATTCCTTGCTACTTGTTGGCATCGTAAAATGTAAATATTGTAAGAAAGTTTCATGGAGGTCGCGCTTCCCTTTTAAGTACAATAGCATTCTCTTTCCTCTTGAATTTTCTCTTTTACAGGACGCCCCAAACTGGGCGAAGAATGCGATCCAGACGGAGATCCAGTTTGCGAACAAATCCCCAACGGAGGAGAATGTCTTTTGAATGGAGGCGGCTCACACACGTGCCAGTGCCAGAGTGGATACGTGTCAGACGATGGCGCCTGCAGTGAGTGTTCTTCCACTTCGCCTCTGTTGCTTGTGTCTTGTCACTGTTTCGTTTTACCATCTGACCCATCATATGTTCGAACTCACTACTCGTATCATTTAAACGGACGAAATGAAGTTTCCATTGCATGGAGTTTGCACCCTTATTCCAGAATTTTCCAACCTATATCAAGGCCGCTACATCTTCCTCACAAGTTTCCATATGAAAGGTGCCCCAATCTTTGCTAGGCATGCGTGTACGATCTTGCCGGAACACGGAGCATATACTGAAAGTCCATGGAGACCGTCCCTTGATATGTTCAAAATGGACGTTTCCGATATGAATAACTTTTCAGCGATACCAGTCCTCGTTCATTAGTTAAAGAGAGACAAAAAGTTTACCGAGAAAGTACGAAGTCGTCGCGACAGACACTTTCGACCCAGCCAAAATTGCCGTGGACAGTTCGTTGCAGATGAAATGTCGATATAGTTGTTGTACTATCTCGTAGGCGTCACTGATCGTCGCAATTGCACTTCTTGCAGGCAAAGGTAGCAACGAGATAATAAAAAAATATGATTAAGAAATTGGAATGTGGAGTTCTTGGTGGCTGTCAGTTGAAGAAGGGTTATGGGGTCGCAGTCATTCATAACGTTTTGGTGAGTTTATGTGCAGACTAGCCATCGAGTGAATTGCTCCTGAATACGTGATAACAGCATGTACAGAACATCATACTAGAATGTGTGCCTAAGAATTCGAGACCACCTTAGTCCTTATCAACTGTTTCCCACTCTAATATTAAAGGGTGTAAATGAAGTGCCTGTACTTACCTGTCGGTCCTTCTGCACAACTTATGGCCTAGAAGGAAAGTCTTGTAGGCCGCGTGCAGTAAGTTAAGATAGCTGAGACCCTCTTAGGCCACAAACTGGGCAAAAGTATTCATGTCCAGGGATGTTAGTTACATCCTATATAAGTAAAGATCGCCCTCTATGCATCGTTTAGGAGAACTTCCTATGCTGTGTTACAGACTTTTACGAGGCTAGTCGAATCTTGGATTAAGCTTTTAATGGTGTGCATTAGACAGACACGTCTGTTTGGTTCCATCTCTCATAGCTCATAGCATTTCTCATCCAAACTGGTTCTTTTCTTGCGTTTCACTTATAGGGCTACCCAGCCTGGGCGAAGAATGCTCTCCACAAACAGGTTGTGAAAAAGTTCCCAATGGGGGACTATGTCTTACGAGTGTAGGGAGTACTGGTACGTGCAAGTGTCAAGTTGGATTCGTGGAAGATGGAAAAACCTGCAGTGAGTTGTATGACCACATGGTATATTGTGTAATGTTTCTTATAATGGAAAGAATGCAAACGTAACCATGAAGCATGACGAAACAATGCAGCTTACCTCTTCATCCCGCCTTCCCTTTACTGGGTCGATATTCAATGCGAATATAGCTCAAGGAAAGAATTTATACTTAAAGTTTCTCAAATTTTCTCATGAATGTCAGATGAGGCTCGGCAAACGAAGGAGGTAACTATCGATGAGGAAGTGAAATTCTCCAAGAACGTAGGGTTCGTTATCATTTCTTGTAACAGCATCCTTTTGTTTAATTGAGGTCAAACAAGACCATGGATCTCAACTCATGGGGTGGATTTATGTGGAAATGTTCATCACAATGTGATGAACATTTCTGCACATTTTTTAAAATACAAATATCAAGCCAGGAACTCCTTTCTTGTGATATTGTGAAAAGCATGATTTGAGAATGAAGTGATTGTATTATCCTCATGTGTAGAAAAGCCATTGGAAGGAGATTGCACAGATTCCATAGACTGCGTATCGAATGCTGCATGTAACACGGACTCAAAGTGCGAATGCAACCCAGGTTACGAACCAGAAAAGACTACTGGCTTGTGCAGTGAGTTTGCATCCGTATGTCAATCCTGACACACAATAATTTTGCAATTGTGTCTAACGTGTATGTGAATTAATATAATTTTCTTGTGAGGCAAACATTCTCACATTAGGGAGATTAGCAGTTATTAAATAATCGATTTGCATCCAGGAATTTTTTGGTCTATCTGATCTAGAATTGTGCTGCTTTAGCCTAACGTGCAAGGTCTCGAAGCTGAAGTCTTTCTAGGTTATAGGCTAGGTGGAGGAACATGAGATGATGCGTACTAGTGCGCTTGTGAATGCGAATGGCAATATAACGCCTCTAATTATGTCAGTTCTTTAGTGTCATTTATGTTTAGCGCGATTTTATGCATCAAAAAACAAGGACAATCGTCAAATACAGGTAGAATCTCTTCAGTGATGCCCATATTCTCTCACCGGATTGACGGAAGTAATACTGTAGGTGCACAAAATCCTCTTTCTTAGAGTGATATTCTTGGAGAGAGGTTGATATCCTAGGTTGACTTTTTGCGATCAGGTAGAGCAACGCAAATGCATACGCTTGTTCAGCAATGCAACATTCCCTTATGTCCATTATGAAAATTTCGAGTGCAAAATTATGGAATTTCCAGGGAAGGTGAATGCTAGCCTCCACGAGGATTGTGACCCAGGGGTAGGAGCATGTATAAGTCCCAATGCTGCATGTGTTGGCGATCCAGGCTTGGAAGCCTGCTCTTGCAAACCAGGATTTGTGGACAATGAAGACAGCTGCAGTAAGTATCACGGTCTTGCTGTAGCATCCAAGCTTAAGAGTGCGCCAATTTGACCCTTGATATATTCCTGGACAATCGTCTACTAAGGCGGAGCTTGTCATCTTAACATTATGTGTAACACTTTTTTAGACTGCACCAATCAGATTATAACGAATCACTCTCAAACTCGAGTAATACTGATATTTTACGTCAATTCAAACGCTTCCCTAGAGTGCGAGACGGTAAGGGCAAGTTTGCAATTTCCTGCTGTTGACATACCCTGTCCTTTTTTTCCCTATATATCCATCTCCCTAATATAACTCTAAGGTGCAAAAGTATTTACCTCCAGTATTTCAAGTATTTCTCAGGTGAATGGGATGAATATCGAAATTAATTTATTCGTAAATAAGGCATGGAACAAGGTGGAAAAGTGACACAATTAATAGTTGACCCTTCCAATCAATCAAATCCGAGCATCGCGCTTTCATCGATCCGACCTAAAGATACAGAATGGTCAAGCTGATTCTGTCCCATTCTTCGTGCAGAAATCTCTTCAGTTCGTCGAGATTTGATGGTTTCTGCTTCTCGACACGCAGTTTGGATATCGACTAGAGGTTCTCGATCGGATCGACGTCGGGACTTTTCGACGGCCAGTCGATCGTTTCGAGTGGTTCCTCGGGTAGGAACTGCTTCGTCACTCGACTTCTGTTGGTGTTATCCTGCTATAGACGCCAGCGTCGACCGAACTACCTTCTGGCGCTACGGTGGAGGTGATCTTGAAGGATGTGAACGTAGTATGGGCTATCCATATTTGGATGAACGAATGACACCCAACCAGGCGGATGACACTGAAGCCGTCCCACACCATAATCAGTCTGTTCTTCGGGATTCGCTTGACCTCGCCTCTTGGATTTTTCCATCGACGAATCGTGTTTTTGAATAGTTGGTAGGGGGTCTCATCGGTGAATATTGTTCGGCTCTAATCGTCGATCTCGTATCGAATCACCCACTGGACGCGCGCATCTTTGACCTTCTGTCAGCATTAGCATCGCATAGGGTAAAGTACTCTTGTAGCCCATCACTTGAGCTGGCGTCGTACCGTCCATCGGGACACGTGCCGACCTCGGCCCTGAGGCAACTTTTGTGCCAGTTCTTTCGCCGTTGTCTCATGGTTTCGTTGAATCCACTGGTGAAATGACTTGTCGTCGCCAGCGGTGATCTTGCGGGGAAGGCCACATCGGCGTCGGTTTTCCAATGTGCCTCGTTATTTGATATCGGCAGTATTGAACTCGACAGCCCGAACGGGGATCTTCGTCAGACGAGCAATTGTGACAGGTTATCTATGGCCGTTGTTCCAGAAGTGGAAAATAGTTGATCGCTTTGTTTTCGGCGAAGTAGAATTTCGTCGTTCAGGCATTTTCTCCCAACTCAAGAATTTTTATGACGATTTGCGGTTTTCACAGCTATATATAAACCAAACGTTTATATGTAGCTGGCGGCCCGCGGGCCGGATCATGCCAGTCAATTTATTTTCTCCGGCCTGCGAACTCCTTTTTAACAGTTTATTTCGTAAAATTGCTGTCAATTTCACTTGTTCGAATAAAAAATGTCGTGCAAGTGTTGTGAGATTCGTTAGCAAAGCCCCCAAACACACCTGAACCAAATAATTTGATCCCCACCAAATTGAGCTAGGCACTGCTGATATAGACTCTTCCTCACTTGGAAAGTTCTCGAAAAATCTCCATAGATTTCCTGAGACATGCTTCCAGAAAGTTGGCTTGTGCGAAGGGCAAGGACTCTTGCATCTTAGTGTACCTTCCCTCTCAGTTATGTCAAAACCTAGTCTTATTGGTTCTATTTCGTTTAACCTGGTCCTATTTCATTTACAGGACTTCCCAGCTTAGGTGAAGATTGCATTCCTGCACCGGGACCTGGATGTGAAGAAATCACTAACGGGGAATGTCTCGGTAATGAAGGGGGCCTTGCTACATGCAAGTGTTTGAACGCATTCGTGGAAGATGGAGGCGCCTGCTGTGAGTAGCATGGCATCTTTTAAATTTATTGTTAATTTTTTTTTTAGCGGCTATGCTTTCTCGAAAAGGAGAGATACCACTTATGGTCCAGTCCTGTCTGTATATATGCATTCGTCTGTCTTCCACTTTCCTACCACGAGGATAACGAAACATTTTGATACGATCACTGTGAAAATTAGCGAACTTTTACACATGAACATGAAATCAAAGGTCGGTGTGTGCAAATTCGTGACGAACACAGTCATTCTTGGGAGTTTTGAAGTCGGGGTTTTTCTTGCTGTCAATCGGTCATAATGAATCTCGCCCTTGAAGACGTAGGCTCATCGCTCAGACGGAATAGGGTTGAGTTCTCCCAGTATGAAACTGGCAGTTCCCTTCGTATTAATAGTTAACGAATTCATTATAGAAGATCAGAGAAGGGGTAGAATAAGCCGGCGTAGACAGCATTGTTAGCCTGACTCGTGTGAAGTGATAGATAACAATTTTACATGGGTACACTGTTTTACATACCTGCTCCCAAATATCACAAATGTTTTACGTACTGGCGGTTTCATATTACAGGTATTTTTTGTAAATATTAATGAGATGAATCATCTCAGAATTCTCTAGACTCATATCTATTATCAACAAAGAACTGAAGCACTAGTACAAAAGGAGGAGTTATTTTCATTTCCAATATTTCTGCATTGCGGGTGTGTGGATACGCACCGCATTCGTCTAGACGTTACAGAGAGTCAATTATGAGTTATTCCACTATATGAAAACATTGTTTTCAACGGATTTACTTAAAAGAAACGCATATTTGGTTCGAGAGGTCGTGCTTTAATTTCAGGCATGAAATCATTACTATGTATTTCATTTTATAATGGTATACGTACGGGGGGGGGGGGGCAGAAATACAGGAGCTAATGAAGAGGTGTATTTACCGGACACACTAAAGAATAATTCAGGGAACTTCGGTAATAGGAGCTGTTGCCGCCTATAATAGTTCGCGTTTCCACCCTTACGAAAATGTCTTATAGGATTCCTATATATTCCTAAAGGAATATATAGGAATCCTATAGAAACCTAAAGGAATCCTATAGGATCCTATATGCCCCATAGAGTTCAATTTGGACCTATAGAGTTCCCCATAGAACCTATAGAGTCCCCTATAGAACTTATAGATACCCCTATAGAACCTAAAGGGTTCCTCATAAGGACTATAGGTTCACTATAGGACCCAAAGGGTTCTGTATAAGACCCGTAGGGTTCCCTATAAAACCCATAGGGTTCCATAGAGGACCTGTAGGGTTCGCTATAGGACCTATAGGATTCTCTATAGGACCTATAGGATTCTCTATAGGACCTATAGGATTCTCTATAGGACATATAGGGTTCCCTATAGGGCCTATAGGGTTCCCTATAGGACCTATAGGACCTATAGGGTTCCCTATAGGGCTTATACGGAATCCTATAGGCCTATAGGGTTCCGTTTGAAGTTCTCCTCTAGGCCACTAGATGGAAGTATTGGGTTCTCACATTTCTCAAAGGACACAAAAGTGCCCTCCCCTTACCCAAGGAATCATCTCTCATAAGAGAGTTTTGTACGTCCGCTAATGTCTCGCCTTGCCTCATTGTAGCAATCAATTAACTTTGACAGTTCCTTTTTTGTCATGCCCATCTTCCTGATATAATCATAGAGTCGCGTGAAGAAATATGCCCTAATTCTTTTTGAAGACCACGTACGAAACTGAGTAGACACTATCCAAATAGTGTTTTATGAAAGAGACATGCTCGCAGGTTTTGTCTTCTATTTCCTTAGGTTGAGTGAAGAATACCACTTCTTCCTACCGAAGGAAGTAGATTATACAATCCAGCGACGCATTTGTGGCGGGGCCATAAATTATGCAGACCCCCGCAGTACTGGTATTAATGATGGATGTGTCCCTACCATGGAAATGCCCCTAGTCGGTTTTTTTTTATTTACACCGAAATGCTGCGCCAATATTAACCCCGGTCGCCTTTTCGTCGAAATGCCTGGGTTTCGAAACCCAATATATCCTCCTCGAATCCTATAGGTCAGGAGACCTATAAGACCCTATAGGGATCCTATAGGATCCTATAGGTTTTTCGTGTTTCAAAACCCTATAGGAACTTCTATAGGTTTCCTATAAGAAATAACTATAGGTTTCCTATAGGACATTTCCGTAATGGCATAGCCAATTAAAGCATTCCTTAATTGTTGGAGTATGGTCCACTCTAGCACTAAATTTGCTGATCCTCCAACTTTAGATTGGGGTAGAGGTACTACTGTAGGCGATGAATCATGGGATGATCGAAAGCATTCCCTAAGACCTAGCTCCATTCATGACTTCTCTCTCTCGGTGGTCTCTACGACCTTCATTGGCTGGTAACAGCTGACAGAATGACCAGAGAGAGAGAGAGCTTGGTTTTTCTTTGGCGAGGCACTTTTTCGTGAATTCACTCGGTGAAATCCCATTCTGCAACATTTCTTTCTCTTCGCAGATATACGAGCTGGAGAGAATTGTACGCGAGCAGAAAAGTGCGTAAATAACGCCTTTTGCGTTGAAACTACGGGATATCTTCAATGTCAATGCAATACTTCATTCGTGGAGGAAGCAGGACTCTGCAGTAAGTCACCATCCCTCGCATTCCCGCTTAACCCTGTATTACATTATGTCGACGTATGTGGGGGTCGCTGATATACCTAGGTACATTTTGTATAGTTCCCATTCCAAACAACAACCATTCGAACATGATTTCCTTGTTCGTAGAAACCCAAAGTTTCAGAATAATGTCGGAGTTAGTGCGCAATGCCAACCCCATGTGTCCTTTGATCCGGAATGTTATCAGAATACATCTCCATAAGCGTGGACACGATGCAGCATTCGGTTACGCGTGTTTTACGAGCGATTACAATGATGTCTTATCGAGTGAAAGCATCGTGGGATTAATCATTGCTCAAAGGCAGTAAAAAAATAAATTACGTCTCCTGACGGCGTCGCTGTCTGTCGTCGGGAAGCGCCAAAGCTCTTACGTACCATTATTATTCTTTGTGCAGAGAAGCCCGTTGGAGGGGAATGCGCCCAATCGGACGATTGCGTGGATAATGCCGTTTGCAACGAGACTGCGATCAATCAAGTATGCACGTGCAACACGGGATTCGTGGCCGAGAAGGAACTCTGCAGTGAGTCGTAACACATCATCAGTCTGTTAAAAAGTATTTCTTGTTGATGACAATCACATGCTTCAGAAGTATTCACTGAGATCGACACTAGCGCTTCATCCGCGGTTGTGAAAAATTAAGTTGGAAAGATACCCAACGAGAATGAACGACTCTACCCTTGCGAAAATGTCTTATAGGATTCCTATAGGAACCTAAAGGAATTCTATAGGATCCTATATGCCCCTTAGAGTTCAGTTTGGGACCTATAGAGTTCCCTATAGAAACTATAGAGTCCCCTATTGAACCTATAGAGTTCCCTATAGAACCTATAGATCCCCCTATGGAATCTAAAGGGTTCCCCATAAGGCCTATATTTTCCCTATAGGACCCAAAGGGTTCCCTATAAAACCTATAGGGTTCCCTATAGGGCTTATACAGAACCCTATAGGCCTATAGGGTTCCGTTTGAAGTTCTCATCTAGGCCACTAAATGGAAGGATTGGGTTCTCACATTTCTCAAAGGGCACAAAAGTTCCCACCCCTTACCCAAGGAATCATCTCTCACAAGAGAGTTTTGTACGTCCCCTAATGTCTCGCCTTGCCTCATTGTAGCAATCAATTAACTTTGACAGTTCCTTATTTGTCATGCCCATCTTCCAGATATAATCATGGAATCCCGTGAAGAAATATGCCCTTATTCATTTTGAAGGCCACGTACGAAACTGGGTAGACTATCCAAATGGAGTTTCAGTAAAGAGACGTGCTCGCAGGTTCTGTCTTCTGTTTCCTTAGGTCGAGAGAAGAATACTACCTCTTCTTACCGAAGGAAGTAGATGTACAATCCAGGGGTGGGGTCATAAATTATGCAGACCCCCGCAGTACTGGTATTAACAATGGATGTGTCCCAACCATGGAAAAACCCAAAATCGGTTTTTTATTTACACCGAAATGCCTCGCCAATATTAACCCCGGTCGCCTTTTCGTCGTAATGCCTGGGTTTCGAAACCCAAAATATCCTACCCGAATCCTATAGGTCAGGAGACCTATAAGACCCTATTGGGATCCTATAGGATCCTAAAGGATCCTATAAGAAAGTCTATAGGTTTCCTATAGGACATTTCCGTAAGGGTACCCACACCTGGATTCACGTTTTGATATCGTTGCAACTTCCGGATGGCAACTTTGGATTTTTAGGGCCGAATGAAGCGAATCTTTGAACTCTCATTGATAATGCAATAACTATTATTGTAAATGTGTCTTTGCTATGCAGTATTCACGTAGGAAACCCTACATGGTATGTGTTACGCTTCCTCCCGTAAAAAATAATGGTAGGACATTTAATTTGAGGAGAACCTCAGCAGTTTTTAGCAGATTTTGAGGGAATAGAGCAAAATAGGTGAAAATAGGGATAATAATCCTAATTGAATCCTCTATTTTTTCTTGCCATACTGATGTCTATAGGCTCAATTTATCTAACATACATAGACGATGGTGACTGACTGACGCTAATTCTAACCATGTTCCTAGAAGTGTTAGAAATTGAAACTTGGTACACATGTACCTTTTGGAATGTAGAGTTCAGAAAAAAATCAGACTTTGGAAATACATGCCCTGGGGGGGGGGTACACATTTTTCGGGCAAACGTTTTCCTTAAATATATTTTGTGACAGATGAGGATGACATTCAGAGAATCAACTGGATGTGCAGGGTTCGGTGGTGTAGTAGTAGTATCAATATATGTGACTGACAATTTGAAGGTCCGGGTTCAATTCCCAGCCTTTCCTTGGATTCCTTTGGCCTTTTTTTTCTTTCCATGTCCTGTTACTCATTCCCCTTACATAACATTATTTTTGCTTGAGTAAGACGTGGAAAGATAAAACTTGGCATGGACGTGCCTTCCGAAACGATGATTTCAGGAAAAATTCAAAATTTCAGATCCATGCCTTGGGGGCATATTTTGAAGAGCCGACGTATTCAAGTTTTTTTTTCGTCCTGGCGTATTGAGATAGTGTGGAGACATGATACTTGGAACATAACTACCTATTGGGATACTGGAGAAAATATCAGACTTTTGAAGTAAATGCCCTTGGAGCACAAATTTCAAAGGGAGATATTTTCAACTAATTTTTGCATAAGTTAAACTAATGAACATAGAAAGCTGAAACTTTGCATGAGTGTGACAGCTGAGTCCAGGAGTTAAATGAAAATGATAGGTCTCGATACATCCCTTGGGGAAATTTTTTCGAGGTGCGATGTTTCGAAAAAAAATTGTCCTGGCGAATTCGACAGAAATATTGGGTTGATGCAAAATTAACGACCGTTTTTATTGATTCTAAATTTTTTCAACAATACAACTCAGAAGACACTCAAAACAAGTTTAAATGATCATTCTGGAGCATAATCGCCATCTACTTCAATAACTACTTCCCATTTGCTTGGCAAACGATCGATTCTACGTGCAAAAAAGTGACGATCCTTTGATGCAATCCACGCTTTGACGTCAGCGACAAGCTCGTCCAAATCATCGTAGACTTTGCCCGTCTTCCAATTTTTGAGCGAACGATTGACGTGGTAGTCTGTAGGAGCTTCAGTGGGAGAATATGGCGGGTGCTCAAGCAGTTCCCATCATTTGTCGTTGATTGATTGGATTACTCGATTTTCGACATGTGGCCTGGCGTTGTCATGATGAAACACGATGTGGTTCTTCTTGCGAGGGCGTTTGGCTTTGATGGCGGCTTCTAAGCGATCTAGTTGAGCCAGATAGACGTCGCTGTTAATGTTGTGCTGCTTTTTCCCATTTCTGTCGGGAATAGGCCATTCATGCTTCACATCGTTGTCGTCCCACCGATAACAGAAACTTTATTGGCGAACTTTAGCGATGATTTCCCAGTGAACAATCCCAGAGTGGTCCCACCATACACACCACATGGCCTTCTTGCAGTGAACGTCATTTGGAATGCCTTTTGGAGATTGGCCACGGTTAACGCACACCTTCTTTCTCTTTAAGTTTTTGAAGAGTAACCATGACTCATCGCCAGTGACGAAGAACTGGAGAAATGGATTTTGCTCATTTCGCTGAAGCAATTCGCTGAAGATGCGGACTCGCTCGGCCTTGTTGTCATCGGAGAGTTCGTGTGGGACGCATCCAGCCAATTTCCATACTTTTCCGAGCTTTTTGAGTCGCCTGACAACGGTGGACTGGTCGACATCGAATTGCTCGGCCATCATCCGTGTCGTCAAACTTTCGTCTTCTTCCACCGCTTGCAAAAGAGCTCGATCATCAAAATCAGACGGACGACCTCTTCCTTCCTCATCTTCTAAGCTTGTGTTGCCGGATTTGAAACGATTGAACCATCTTCGGACTTGTCTTTCACCGATTGTTCCTTCACCGAAAAGTTCGTTGAGATCGCGAAATGCTTCAGCGACAGTGTGACCTTTCTCGAAATGATAAAGCATGATATGACGAATATGAACGTGGTTATCGACGCGCATTCTTATTAAAATGGTAAGAATATTATTATGAAAAAAGATTGAGACAAAATGCTAAATTTGAAAGATTCGAAGGGGACTAATAAAAACGGTCGTTAATTCTGCATCAACCTAATAGAAAGGTGAAACTTAGCGTATAAGTGACATGATATTACTGAGCTGAGGGAGTATTCAGTTTTCATGGTGCATCCCCTCCGGGCTTAGCGTAAGGGCGGGTCGGCTTTTCCAAACATGTTTCTTCACCAGCGAAAAGGGCAAACGTATACATTTTTGGCGTGTGGTTCACCTGAGGGTGGATTTCGGTAGGAAACAAATGATACGTTTTGGTTAAAACGGCTCGGGGCACATATGTTGCAAAAGGGGTATTTTCATGAATTTTCTCATCCAGCAAAACAGAGGACGCATGAAAATAAAAAAATTGGCAAATAAGTACCTATGGATAGCTGTGTAAAGAAGAAATTCCACTTTTCTAATGTATATACACGATCGGGATTGACTGACTGACGCTAATTCAAGAACAAGAAACCTATAAGGCTGAAACTGGGTGGCATGGAGTTCATTGAGTCTCCATTTTAGAAGTAAACATTTTTTTCGCTAAAACCCATCAGGACTCTTTTTTTTAAGTCCCATTTTCCTGAATATTTTTTTGATCCAACGAAACAGATACAGAAAATTTAAACTTCCCTCAGAAGTTCCTGTTTAATAGTTGAGTACTGGAAAAATCATGCTATTGAAATATGTCTCCTTATCGTAGATTATTGAAGGGAAGTATTTCAATATGTATTCTCCACCCTTACTAAAAGGGACACAAGAAAAGATTTAAAGTCAGGCACACATAGAATCATAGAAGTAAAGAGTTTTGATTTTTAAAAAATCATGATCTCCGTCCCCATATGTCATGAATTTCAATGGGACGTACTTTGTGTTTCCCATTTCGCAAAAAATTAATGAATTAATCACTATCCAAGGTAATGGAGCGCCGAAGGCGCCACCATAGCGAGTACTTCATAAACCTTCCTTCACTTTCGCCTTAAAAAAAGGCAGGCTTGTTTGCCTCTTTTCCGCATCTGCAGCCTATTCTTACCCCAATTTTTTAGGAAAGGCTGTGCTTGCCTTCCCTCCTGTTCCACCCTCGATTCGCGGAAGTGTCAAGTGGGAAGTCATGACCTTGGTTCTACGATGCGGGAGGATAGGACTGGGGGAAGGGCCGGAAGGTACTTTCAAACAATGCGAATGGGGAAGAAAGTATTTCATTTCACAGTGAACTGAAAAAAGTATTGCATATTTCGGGAAATTTCATTCCTTGAAGGGGATTATTCGAATAACCTCATTCCTTTATGAGAAGTTTTCCATGATGTACCCTATGATAGAAAAATCGGGATCGTGCAGTGATATTCTATTAAGGGGTATTCAATTATGCGGAGTCGACTGTGCATTGTGAGTTGTCACAAAACATATTAAAACCATTCTCTAGGTCAAGAGTACCAAGACCCCCCCCCCCCCAATTTCGGTGGCATTCTCACTCATCGCCAAATCCGGAACAAGTAAAGTAGCATACAAGGTCTTGAAGGGCTTGATCCAGGGAGGCTATTGGTGTATAGTTTACATTGTTTTGAGCTGTCCATCAGACTCTCCTGACCACCGAAAAATGACTCGTCTTACTACCGCGGTCATGCCTATCGACTGGCTGCCCTTTGACCTTTCAACTTACAAAGAACTCTTGGTCAATCTGCATTGTTTTCGAGGTAGGTTGCTACTCATCCCTCCCTACCTTCCAGATTCCACCTTTGTCTCGCAAGTATCTTCCTGGTTTATAGAGAAATTTTGGATGTTTCTTCAATCCGGAATGCCACCAACCATGGTACACTTTACTTAGAGAACGGTTGTGTAACAATTAAGGGAAATCATGTAGTCGATGTGGTTACTTCCACCCAATGGAATTTCACACCCGCATCCTGATTGATAATAATCAAAAGATGTGATTTAATCTTTGACCTAACCAAATTGGGGCGAAAGTCCATAAGGGCGACTTTCCACGCGTGATTTTCATGATTGATACCCATATCTGCCACAACCCCTGAGAAGGGGAGGCAACGCCAATTCCCAGTTTCACAACCACTCCCTGTTTAGTATGGTTATTGACAGGCCTGGAAGAGGAACTTAACCCTTTGCGTTCCATTTTATTTGTAACGCTATTGAGATTGTCTCACTATATCCGACAGTGGATCGCAAAATATTAAACATTTTTCAACTAAAGGCTTATTTTTAGAAGGAACAATCACACATGGAATCGCGGCTTGTCATACTGGAGACTGGGGGTGCCAGAATGAGGGAGGAATAGAAATACCGAGACTGGGAGGCTCGGACTGACCGTCTTCAGAATCTGTTTATCTATTTCGGACTCACGAAATTGATTATAACAATGTATATCAAATGTATTACGTGGTGTCACTTTTGGTAGACCATCTGTTCCTTCGGATGCAGTTTGTTCTGTTGTAATTTTCTTTAGCCGTATGATCTTCTAATTTTGCTATACCACGAGGTTCCACGAACGATTCTATCCATTCCGAGTCATTTTCCTTATTATTGCACAGGGTGGGAAAGTGAACTGGAAAGTAACCCCTTTTAGAGGGTTGAGGGAAACGCGGATATCAGTCATGAAATCAACGGTTGGAAAGTCGCCCCTGTGCATTCTCGCTCCCGATTATCGAGATGTCATGAAAGAGAAATTTTAACAACTATTTATGAATGAAGTCCCATGATCGAAAATGTAAGACACCGTCGAAGAACTGTTTGATCTGAAGCGATTAATGCGATTGATGTGAAAATCATGGAGAAGATTGAAGTTAGTTCAGGATTGAGGACCCCTCCTCCAGAAGGATCTGAACCTTCTTTTGCCAAAAGAGCTATTCGAGTGCTACCCTTTCTGTCAAAAACGCAGGAGAAAGCATCCATGCCAACCTCTTCCCTCTCTGCTAATGCACTTCACGTTTCATCTTGTCCAGCTGTCGCGATCACTCCAGATGCAAAGACAAGCTGGTTATTGTGGTCAATGTCTGCAAGCGGTCCCAAGAGGCTCTCATACCGGCCCTGGTCATTCTCTTGTTCGTAAAGGAGTTGGGAGTCCTCCTTCCTCCTCTTCAGTCTTTTTTTGGAAAACATGGATAGTCTGGTTTAGATATATGTAAAAAAGTTTCATGCTTAATATGCTGTATGTAGCACTTTTTCATAGTCGCCATCAACAGGAAGTCGACTGATAATATGTTTGTTTTTGAAAATTAATCCCTTTCAGGAAAACGATAAAAACAAATATTTAAGTTTATTCTTAGATCAGGGAAATTTTGCACAATATGTTTTGAAGGTATTCTTTCAGCAGGAGAGGTCTAGACACTCCAGGGACTTGTGCATTGTGGCTTCGTCCTCTTCACATTGCGAACAATAGGATGGGAAAGAGGGATTCATTTTGTGCTGTAATGAGGGAAATGAGAAGTGATTATAGAGGAGCTGCCAGACAGTACAGTCGAACTCGGTTATAACGTCATCAAAGGGACCAGGTAAAAACCGTCGTTATAACCGAGGTTGCCTTTATTGGCACTCCGTTTTCCTGTTTTCAAAATTGATGATATATACTTGTAACGTTACAACTCCAGTTTATATTGGTCATACTGCACTAGCTTCAGTTTCAAGATTGACCCACTAATCGTGATGTTCACACTTCTATGGACCTGGAACTACTTTATACTTTAGCAAGGTTTCGTCGATGTCATCTCGACAGACCTAGGAAGCTTCTTGTTTTGTGACATGTTCTCGTAAGCACAGATGAAGCTGTTACGATTTTCCTAATTTGTGGAAACAGATGAACAGATGTCCATGTTCGCGAGCGACGTTAGCTTCATTTCGAGCTCTTTCTATTAAACTAATCAAGCACACTTTCCTTTCAATCGTGAAGGCTTGCCTCTTATTTCCATTGGCCATGTTGTCAACGAGAAATGCAAATGGCGACTGAAGATAAGGTGATCTTAGTTACTGGGGATTATCCCTTCCTAACATTGCTCCAGCCACACCCACATGACTCTCAAGGAATGCTGAATCCAGGAAATATGAAGTTATGGCTCGCTAATTTTTCCGATTACAGAAATTTCAGCTAAGAATGACGGATTAGGGACATGAACGTTGTCGATTTTGTCTGTGGGACCTTCAATGGACTTCGTAATACCCGAGGTTTCGTTATAACCGAGGTCGTTATAATCGAGTTCGACTGTATTTCCATCTACGTCGTAATTTAAATGAAGGAAGACCGAGTACCTTTTCCAATTGGCATACCCACTTTGGTCTCCGGAATAAGGTGTTGGTGGCTTGGAAAATAAAACTTTGTTTTTGGAAAAAAAAAATATTTAGTGGAATATCATACTGTGGAATCAAGGGACGGGGAATCAATGTGACTAAACTATCGCTTTAGAGTGAGTTTAGTGGAGGATTTAAAGGATTTGAAGATGAAGATGATGTGGATGAAGAGAAGGCTTGTTGAAATCGTTGTGCTGATGGCAGCTATTTCTAAGCATAGCCGTCTACGCCTTCTATGTGCCGAAGTGGTTAGACTCTCATCGATCGGGATGAAATCGAATTAAGCTTAAAAGTACTTGATATCAGTTGCATCAATGAATCCCATCGAATGCAACGAACGGGGGACACTAATTCAAACATGTGGGGATCCTAATAAAGATGCCTGATCTCTCTTTTCAGAGAGGAAAGCGGGAGAGAACTGTACGACGGACGTGGCAGACTGCACGACCAACGCCACCTGCACGGAACTTGAAACTGATTTTCACAAATGCAAATGCAACCGTGGATACGTCGCTGACAACACCACTGGACAATGCAGTGAGTCATCATTCATAATTCTCTGGAGCTGAATCAGATTCTCCACCCCGAAAGTTTTTATTGATATATACACAGAATAATTACTTTACCTCGAGAAATCCTATTTCAAAGGTCAGGAGAGATAACACTATTCCATAGCGTGTTAGAATAGGAAGGGTGATTACCCAAGGTCACCATTAATTTTTTAAATCAATCTGGGAGGGTGAATTTTCGGAGTCAGAAATGCTGAGGCACAGCTGCATTTGCCCTACTATGAAGTGTTCCTCATGGAGGTCTCATGTACTGACTACTGAAATTACTAACATGTATATATCAATACTAGGAAAACCATTCACTTTGGAAGGATAAAAAGAGATTGCTCATTGAGGTCCAACAAATGAAACTACAAGCCTGAACCTTGCATAAATCATATCCAATATATGAGAGTTTGGGGCGTTTGTTTTCATGACTGCTCATCCAACCTTGGAATGTTCCCACCCCTGGGGAATGGACTCAAGCTAAGTGAGTGGGATGTTGAGCATCTTGTGACAAAGCTGCACAGCTGCCTTTCTGCCTGGCACAATGTCTGCCAACTGGTCCTTCACCAGTCATGATGAACTGAGGAAGTCTTTTTGGATGTCTCTCAGGGGCATGTGAAAAACTTGCCCAAACCACTGGACTGGAGATTTCTTGATCTGGAGAAGTATTGAATAGTTGCTAATCCTGAAGACGCTCACATTTGGTGGCAATTGGTATCCTATAACAAAATGTCTTACACCAGCTAGTCAATATAAGAACCACACTATGGCAGCTTCTTCCTGTGATCTGATTCTATTGATCATTCCCTCCAAGTTTATGGCCATTAGAAGGGTTGGAAAAAAAAACATGTAAACAAATTAAAAGGAGACTTGTGTCTTTTGAGAGATATCCCATTTGGGAATCAATGTCCTGTGGAAGCTCTGGAGATGCGATTGTTTATGTATTTTTGCATATCACCCATTGCTTGAAAAGCAGAGATCCAGATACTCCACTCCGGCTGTTTCACTTGACATTTAAGGTGCACTTTGGAGTACAATGAGTTGAATTGATTCATCATGCTGTATAACTCATGATTAAACTGGGTCAATAAAACAGCATCACCAGCCAAGAAAAGTAATTTTTTGGTGATGCACCACTGATGATGACTCCCTTGCAACCCTGGCTACACATGCAAATCTTGCCCATGTATGCAAGGAATAAGAAAGGAGAGACAATGCAACATTAGTATCGCCTGGCACATACTGATGAAACCTATACTCATCCCTCTACTAGACCCCTACTAGAACTCCTGCAATCACTGCATCAGGACTGCATGGTCCATAGTACCTCCCTATTAATCCAATAGTCCCTACAGCTTCCACAGAGCTCATGCTTTCTAAATCCACGAGGTGTATCTAAAACTTTTCCACATCCCCTCTTAATGTTTCCAAGAATCTGCTGCAAAGAGCTGCTTATCCCGCCACGCCCTCCATGAAAGTCACTGTTTCTTCAAAACTTCACAAGTAGGTGGACACTTCGAACTACAATGGAGCCCAAGCTAGACATCTTCACATGCACTCTGTTTCAATAAATAAATTTTCCATGTCAACAAAATGGAAATGCTTCAAGTCCATCAGACAAACTTTCTATGCTGTACTTTTTCTGAGAGAGAAATTGAACTGATAGTCAAGTCAGATGTCTTTCTCTCTGAATCACAGATGTTTAGACTCCTGCATCATCTGAAAACTATGTTGGCTACAAATTGCACACATTTGAACAATGCACTCATGCTATCTTTTTTGGCTATTGATGTATGCAATGTAAACATTGAATTTTGATGTGGAAAAGTCCTGAAAAGGGCTTTATAGTTAACCTTAGAATTTCAATAGGTATGATGAGTAATTTACCTAATGACCATAATAGGGCTTAAAATCATCTTCATCCCTTTTGGTATCAGAAATCTCAACATCTGCATAACCTAAGGCGTCATGCAATGCACCTTTGGAATGCTTGGATGTTGAATTTTTCTTAATTCATCCTATTCCATTTCTTTCTCTTTGAACAGCTAAATTTCCTTCTACAACTCACTCTTGGATTCAGCTCTCTCCTGTAACCTTCACCCTGGTGATTTAACTATAAACCTGTATCCAGGCTTGTGAACTAGAGCCCAGATTTTGCCCACAAGGACAACTTCCCTTTCCTTTTTTCCATAATTTCTGCTTAATTGTGCATGCACTAATCCTTTGATATTGACAATACTTTAGACAAATTAATTCGAATTTAAATCGAAACGAAAATAAATTTGCTGAATCAAAGTTGTTAAGAAAATTGGGTTTAAGCATAGATATTGATTGAAAGGAATACCAAAACGTTCAAATTGTGCCTGCAAGAGCAGGGTAATGATCTGGGGACCTAAAGTACCTATAGGTCCAATGGATATAATTTTGCCTGGGCTCTTTACAAATAGGCCACAATAAGCCGATCAAAGGCCTAGCTTACAATCGGCTATTGAAAACCGGGAGCGCTTGGCCTACCCCAATGATCCCAGTTATACAGAAGGCCTAGGCCAGATTCTCTGTAACGTTAGTGAAGAGTTAGGCTCATCCATTGGATAAACAACCATGAGCCTTTACTTTTTATACCGATCTTGCCTTGTGAAATGTGTCCTCGTAAAGCTTTACTTCGACCTGACGTCCACCACGATTCCTGAGGTTGGGACCAAAGAAATGCTCCTGCATGTCTACCACGTGGTTTTACAGGCTCGTTTGACCCCAAAAAGATGGCTTCAAAAGGTGCCGCGATACCAGCGCCAGTATCCGCCCCTTGGTGATTTCATATTAATGTGGCAACGTAGCAGATGCCTGAACTGAAATGAATGACCTCTGAAACTTATCTTTACAAGTCCATGTAATGTTTACGTTTCCATAGCATAACTGAGTAATCCCCAAGGAAATTACAATAACTGGTCTCACAGCTCGCGAGATCGGACAACAATTCTATTTCGAAATATATTTTTTATTTCCAATGTGTTTTTATTTCATGCTTTTTATGGGCTCTACGAATTTGTCTTGTCGCTTGAAAGTGAGTCGAGTCCAAAGATTTGACTTTTTATGTATTCATAAGTACTAGTGGTTGTTGCTGAAACAGTATATTGTCCCATTTTTTCATTCCAAAGAACTAAAATGAAAAAGGAATGGTATCTCGTACATATATATCCATGCGTTCGACATACCATTTCCTATCATGATTCGTATCCCTATTCCTTCATGAGAATAGTCCATATTTCTTTCTTTTATTTTTTAGGGTCCCCCATGTTGGGCGAAGAATGCACAGAAGATGTGGAGTGTGCTGTAGAAAATGCAGAATGCATTGCAAGTGATGGGATAAATACATGCCAGTGTCCTGGTGCATTTATTGCAGAGGAATTCATGTGTGGTGAGTATTAATATTCATTTGAAACCTTCGAGCTAAATTGGAAAAAAAGGGTAAGAGAAAGAAAAGTAAGCAAACATTCACAAGTTTTTCTCACCGTAGTGATACAGGCTTCCGAATATTGGGTTAGTCATTCAGGTACATTAACCATGACTAAATTATGAGCATACGAGCTCAGTGCGTGCAGATTATTCTGCCTTTGCCGAAAGAACTCATAGGGACAATTTTCGTAATTTTTATTTCAGTAAAATAATATTTCCCAAAGATTCTGAGCTGATGAAGCTAATGCACTCATCGGAAAATTAAAAAAAAATCGCGAATTGATGCATTCGTTTGCAAGTGAAGGAATACAAATTTGCAGCTAAGGAACTGAGGATAAAGTTTGTCGTTCTAGAAAGACTGAAGAACTGTAAATGCAGCACATCGAGGGCGAAGGGATCGACCTTCACGCCGGTATCCCAGCAGCAAGGAAACAAATTTTTCCCTATTCTATTCTCAGCTGGTCTGAAAGTTATTGCATGGTTCAAATACATGGGTGCTATTATTCCCACCTTTCAATATGGTCATAGAAGTTCCAACGACATAATGATGTCACTTCCCAAAATAATCTTCAAGGTCATGATATTCCTATTTACAGTGAACACGATTGTGCAAGGTACTATGAATCCCACCAGATCAAATACACGAGCAAAAATTTGCAATATCATCCTCAGACGTTGATTTGTATTAATTCTCTTCAATATGTTGTCACTTAGAGCTAGAATTCATTGATTTGAATCGAACGATGAGTCAATATTATATTTGAGTGTGGATAGTCTCGTCAAACATTTAATTTTGCAGTTATTTTTATGGTGCTGCCGATGAGTGACGTTATTATTTCTTTCTTTTTCGCAGTTGATTCCGGCGTGAAGGAAACAATCTCTAGAGGCATCATCGCCATCGCAACCATATCTGCAGCTTTGCTTAGTTAATCTTTCCTTCTACTGCAGTTGGCCATTATGCTAAATAAACTTGATAGAACCGGTTTTGCGATAGTATCTGTAGAATAAATCCTGATCCGTCAGGTTTCCTGAGGTCACTCAGATTTTCCACATCAAGGATCTGGATGACCTCTCTGCGGAATCGCCTGCAATTTGAAACTTTTGATAAAGGACTAGCCCAATTAGATAATTGACTTAATTTTGCTCATAAAAACTACTTTAATAAACCTTAAAATAAAGGAGTTTCGAATTTAAAGTCTATACATTTAAAAAAAAGCACAGGGGATACTAGTTTTTGTTCTGCTAAACAGTAAAATTAATTGGAAAGTATTTCCGCGAAGAGGTCTCGTCTGCGAAACGATTTTCTGTGAAACGGGCACTACCCGAAAAAGGATGCCTGCATTAAAAATATGTACAACACGACTGAAAGACATGGATAAAAGTTGAAGTTAAGAGGATGGAAGTATGCTAGCCCAGACAACTCATGAAATATATATCAAAGGGTCAGTGGATGTTACCCAAGGAAGCAACTGCAAGGTGTTTTGACACCTTGCAGTTGCTGGAAAATCATTTCTGTTAATAATGAAAGTAATTTCAATCTGATCGACTCAATTTTTTAAACTCTATATGTGAATAGAAGAAATATGGCATGTACCTAATTTAAATAAATTTGACGCATTTTATCACGTTCTATGCCATTTAAAGCTCGATAGGTCATCATTTCTGTCGTACCAGCACACTGTTGCGCTCCCCTCGAAGTCCGTGTGGCATAACAAAGAGGCAGAGGGCTAAGTGTTTTCTTTTTATCACCTGTTTTGGGAAATATTTTTTTTTTACCAATCCAAAAGAAATTCATACCTGGTACATTTGCCAGTATCAATTCAACAGGTTTTTCTTAGGAACACGGGGTTCCAAGAAAACGGCCTTTTTTTTCAATGATAAGTATTATCTAATCAGCCCAATTTATTGAACACTGAATGAGGATATATGATATATGGATTTTCTTCGAACTCAGCAGAAACCGTCTATTTGGTCACAGCATGCGCTCAAAATAGTTCCAAGATTCTCGGACGTAAGCATACAGCCGTTGTCGCCATTTTCGAATTACTCCATCAATGATGCTCAACTCCAAGCGTCTCAACTTCTCTATCAGGATGTCGACGTTGTCCACTTTGTTGCAGAACACTCTCTCCTGTAGGACTCCCCAAATTTTATCATAAAGGTGATTGAGAATCAAACCGGGGGCAACAGGTTGGGGGAATCAAGTCCGGCGTTAGTTGTGCCAGCATTTCGATGGTTTCTCTCGCCCTGTGGGTAGGTGGGCTATACAGTTGCGTGATAAAGAACTGTCCCGAAACACGCCTGATGTCTGGTAGCATGTTTCGTGCCTAGAAAACTTATTATTATTGGCCATTGATCTTCACACCCGGTTCCACAAAATGGATTGATGTGATCTCCGATATCGATGCTCCAACCGAGACCATGACCGACCGATTGAAGATAGGGCGTGTTCCGAGGAGATGATGGGCATTCACAACCTTCTTCTTTGTTCTCTCTTCAATATATAGGCGATCGATTTGTGCATTGCTCGGAGATGCCACAGTAAACACATTTTAGTCTGTAGACCAGGTAAAGGTCACAAGATGGGCAGAGCAACGACGTAAAAGCTATGTTGTATGTGTCAAACGGGCAAGTTTGTTTGCTTCAGTTAATTCTTGTACCTGTTTTTTTTTTATGCAGTCTGAGACCATTCTCAATTACTAGGTTGACTGTTGAAAGGGATGTTCCAATGGCTCGAGATATTTCTTTTTCCGTTCGATGGCCCCCTCTATCATTTTCTTGGCTTAAAGCCAGAGCTTCCACCTTTTCAACATTTTGTGGTGTTCGACCGTGCGTGGTCTACCGCTCCTCGCCTTTGTTTTAATCGTGCGGGCATTGTCAATTCTTTTCTAAAGATAGTCCAGGCCACGTCTTGTCCACGTCTTCTTCGCATATTTCCTTATTTCATATATTCACAAGCAGTGTGTGAAATAAGCAGACGATTGGAATAATCTAGTATCATTCAAAAACGAAAATTTCAGGTTTTTTTGAAACAGAAGACGACAGAGGACGAAATTGAAGGACGTCACGAAGTCGATCGGGGCGAGGTATATTATTTCATCATGTGATCGAAATGAATGAGATTAATTGCAAGTGAAATTTACGCGAAAGTGGATCAAGAATTGCTTACAGTGGCACATGGTTAACAGCTAACATCAAAAGCAGTGAAAGTCCTTTAGGAGAATGCCCATAACTTCAGGGCATTCCAGGACCGAACGACAAAGAATCTCGAGGCTTACGAGACCGGAAAATGCTCTTGATAGAGGTTGAAATGAAATGGCATCATGTACAGGGTGAGTCAAAAGTCCTTTCCCATCGACAAACACATATAACTTCACCAAAATGCAAAATACAGGGTGGCCCAAACAAACCGAACGATACTTTAAATGCCGATATCTAGCGCACTGTTAAAGCTACAGAAAAAAACGAAAAACCCCAATAAAGTTAAGTTCAAGCCCTTTCCGTTGATTTATGGTTTTTAGGTCGTAGCACCTATCCAATGGTCATAATAACCATTAGAAAAAGCATACCCCCCAAAAAGTTGTAAAACTGCATTTTTACCAGCAATGCCTATCATCCATTCTTCCTTCAGGGCAATCTGTCATTTTCCCGCCATAATATTTTCATCTAAAACTGGAAGAATAATTGAAAAATCGGTTTTGTCCCAAAAGCTGCTGTTCGGGTTGGTTAGGTCTTTGCCTCCCCCATCCTCTTTGGACCACCCACATTTGCACAATACACACTCATTTTTTAACCTGGGTAGAAGTAAAAAAGTTAGACACATGAAACAAGCACCAGCCAGCTCAAGGCTACATACGCACAGGCTGAAACCGGTCGGTTCTGAATGTGGGTGGTCTAAAGAGGAAGGGGGGGGGGGGGGCAAAGACCTAACCAACCCGAACAGCAGCTTGTTGGGGACTAAACCAATTTTTCAATCATTCTTCCAGTTTTAGGTGAAAAGATTATGGCGGGAAAATGACAATTGCTTTGAAGGAGGAATGGATGATAGGCATTGCTCGTGAAAATGCAGTTTTGCAACTTTTTTTTTTTGGGGGGGGGGTATGCTTTTTCAAAAGGCTAATATGACCATTGGTCAACTCTCCAAGTTGCCCCAAATGCTGAAGTCTAAGGGATTCACATTGGAGGAACATGGTGGCCATTCCACAATACTGATGAATCCCGGAACGTTTTTCTGCAGCCACTGCTGGGTCGTCTTCGCCTTGTGAAAATCAGTCGATGACTTTATGAACCGTCTGAAACTGTCATTCAGGCCAAGGGTGGTCATATTGAGATCTATTGATGCGATGTACAATGCGTCCAATCCATTGCATGATGCCTAATTTTCAATTGGCTTTGCGTGTGAAATCCAACGATTCCATAGCCTCTTGGTGAATTTGACAGTTTCTAGCAAAGAAGAGGAAACGTATACAAAGCCATATGCTTGGACACATTTTTATTGGTGATGTTCCAGATAGTACAGGGTGATCGTAAAGTCAGGAAACCCAAACAATTACACGTTTTGTCCATACTAAACGAGATGGACACTTCCTACATTGCACTTTTATAGTTCAACATTTGTACGGTATGTATAGGAGAATGATTTCTCAGTACACAAGTGTCAAGCCAGAATTTTGCGTGGTCATGCAGTTTCAAATATGGTGTTAACGTTGAAGCAGAGTGTTTTCCTTGTTGAGACTCATCCATACAAGATGGGGCCACATCACACGCATCCAATGAGTGTATGGGAAATGTTCTAGCTTTGTTCAAGGAACGGGTGATCTGAAAGGGACTTTGGCCACCAATGTCCCCAGATCTCATGAATCGATTATTTCTTATGGAATATGTAAAGGAGCGTGCTACAATACCAATCCCTATACTATACAGCAAGAATTGAAGGACATCACAGTGATCGTGGACGGAATTCCTATTGACATGTTGGAAAGTTTGGCTGGAAATATATGTAGAAGAGTCTAGCTATGTCTTTATGTCCAAGGGGAAACTTTCAGCATATCTTGTGATTTCACGTGAACACGCATTAGTTGAACTAAATTTACACGAAGTCGGAAAATTTTTTGCTGTATGATATGGGCATCCCTAATAAATGTTTGGGATTCCAGAATTTACGATCACCTTGTATATTCTCAGCAGTAATTAATAGAGGTCTCGATAGACTTGGTTAGATTCAGATGATTTGGACACGCAAGTATATACTATCCCGTTTTCATGTGGACAGGCTCCAAGAAGAAGAGCAAATATGGCATTAATCACAGTTGCACAGGACCATTGGGAAATTCAGATCCCCACTATGGGAAGAGGACGGTTTCTCCAGATATCAGTTTTAAATCTATTTTCGGTAGTAGAAGTAGACGATGAGTCCAAGGGCAATGCCGCATGATGTGAACAATACGATTTTGCGCTTCTCTCTTGCCTGGAAACGAAGAATTACAATTTAATTCATCATTTGAAATGATAGAATATAGCGACGTAGGTCTTCTGCACTGTCACGATGATCAACGAATGTAAATTAATGGATATGTTGATCCCGAAGAAAAGCTTCTTTTTATTTCAAGGGGAATATGGTATCAAAGCATCAATGAAGTATTATTATGGAAGGAAAAATGGCCTACCATTAATCATTATCAGAATTTTATTGCTTCCGATTTTCCACCAACCTTTTCAAATGCATTCAGTTTAGCCTTTTCAGACCTGGCGTCCATTCCAATGAACATTGCATTTTCATTGTGTCTATAGCGATATCTTAGGCTTCTCGTGACTTTGCGCTCCATATTTCGCTACAATGGGCGCAATCATGCATAGCTCAGTTTCATCAGAGGCCTTATTTCACCCATTAGTTTCATCATCTGCAGTTACTTAAATGTATGAAATGTAATATATTGTATGATATGGTAAATTCATACAAAATATGAAAACTACATATCAGGAAA